GGGGTCAAAAAGGATCTTGCTGTGATTTATGTCATAGAGTGTTCTGCCTATGTTTTTCTCTAAGAGTTTTATAGGTCTTTAATCCATTTTGAGTTTATTTTTGTGTATGGTGTTAGGGAGTGTTCTAATTTCATTTTTTTATATGTAGCTGTCCAGTTTTCCCAGCACCACTTATCGAAGAGGCTGTCTTTTCTCCATTGCGTATTCTTGGCTCCTTTATCAAAGATAACGTGACCATATGTGCGTGGGTTTATCTCTGGGCTTTCTATCCTGTTCCATTGATCTATATTTCTGTTTTTGTGCCAGTACCATACTGTCTTGATTACTGTAGGTTTGTAGTAGAGTCTGAAGTCTGGGAGCCAGATTCCTCCAGCTCCGTTTTTCTTTCTCAAGATTGCTTTGGCTATTTGGGGTCTTCTGTGTTTCCATACAGATTGTGAATTTTTTTGTTCTAGTTCTTTGATAAATGCCATTGATAGTTTGATAGGGATTGCAATGAATCTGTGGATTGCTTTGGGTAGTGTAGTCATTTTCACTTTGTTGATTCTTCCAATCCAAGAACATGGTATATCTCTCCATCTGTTTGTATCATCTTTAATTTCTTTCATCACTGTCTTATAGTTTTCTACATACAGGTCTTGTGTCTCCTTAAGTAGGTTTATTCCTAGGTATTTTATACTTTTTGTTGCAATGGTAAATGGGAGTGTTTCCTTAATTTTTCTTTCAAATTTTCCATCATGAGTGTGTAGGATTGCAAGAGATTTCTGTGCATTAATTTTGTATCCTGCCACTTTACCAAATTCATTGATGAGCTCTAGTAGTTTTCTGGTAGCATCTTTAGGATTCTCTATGTATAGTATCATGTCATCTGCAAACAGTGACAGCTTTACTTCTTCTTTTCTGATTTGGATTACATTGTTTTCTTTTTCTTCTCTGATTGCTGTGGCTAAAACTTCCAAAACTATGTTGGGTAATAGTGGTGAGAGTGGACAACCTTGTCTTGTTCCCGATCTTAGAGGGAATGGTTTCAGTTTTTCACCACTGAGGATGATGTTGGCTGTGCGTTTGTCATATATGGGCTTTATTATGTTGAGGTACGCCTACTTTCATTACCTTCTCTTAAAGACAAATGCCTAAAATCTTTGTTGATGAAATTCATTGTACATTATCAGAGAAAAATAAGAGTGCTCTTTGTGGCTTATTGTTCTTCTGACATGGAATAACTTCCTATGGAGAGAACTGTGACAGGGACAGCGTTAGCTTTACTTCAGAACTTAGTCCTTCATAAAGGCCTAGCTGCATATTTCCAAGTGCATAGGATATTTACATTTATTCAGATGTTTCCTGTCAATTTATTGACACAGGTTATGATCAGGAACTTCCATTAGGAAATAAGGATTTCCGATTTGCCATTTTATATCAATTTATGTATAATTAACTAACCTTCATATTAACCTTTTTAAAAAATATAATTTCCCGCATGGTTCCATTGGTGTATGGCAGTGACTAAGCTTCTGGAATCTCACTACATGAAGTGACTAACTTGATGCTTAGAAAAGACTAACTTTTCTTTGGACAGGTATAGTTAATGAATACTGTGTCTAATCGTTGACAGTAACAAATTCTGATAACTCTTTTATCTGCAAAAGAACTATGTATTTTATATATATATATATATATATATACATATGCCATCATATCTTTTGGTGTAAACAATAATCTGTGCTCTGATTTTGTACCAAGTTTTCAGTGTTAGTCTACGAATCAGTTGCCTTTTTGGTGGACTGAGTTCGTGATGTTAAATCAATTTCCTTGTAATCAGGCTTTGTTGTTAAAGATCTTCACACGCTCCAACTATTTTGTTTCCACACAGTTTCCTTGGTTGGATAAAAGGTTGAGATATAGTTGAGTGGACTGGAAAATAGAAATCTCCAACCTTATTTCTAAACTCTGCTTGAATTAATCTGAATATAGTTCTTTTAACCCATGTGAACAGCAGAGGAAATGACTATATCTTGTCAGAAGAAATTAGGACACTTTGATACATAACCCTTTCATGCGAAGCTGATATAATATGTTTATTAATCACTGGTATGCTCTTCTACTCTCTGTGCATAGATTTCCACTATATTTTTTAAAGTTCTTTAAATAGTCATTTATTTCGGCTTCTAGTATTGGGAAGCAGGAACACAGAGAAAAAATACTTTGTTAAAGTTTAAGTTATTGATTTGAAAAGATGTGCTTCTATTCTACTTCTTCCAGTATGTGTTTTATGAGTGACCCTGTGAGCTCTGATGTTTTTAATAAATGCAGAGAGAGTCTCTCCATCACAGTTACCTTAGTGCATGCTTGAAGCCTTTGAAGCTCAGACTTCAGCCCTGGCTGGACTGAAGCCATGGTCTGCTGCATCCTACCTGTGTTATCTGCATTCCACTATTATTAGAAATGAGAATTCTCAAGTTAGCAGGTTATTTTTGTCTTGTTTTAAGAAGAAAAACTATCATAGGGACAACATAGACTTACATTAAAGATGTAAGCTGTGGAAGAAAATAAGATCTGGGATCAGAGCACCTCCATCAAATTCCCTACATCAACATTTCTCTTACCACCTATATCTGAATCAGTTGGGGTGTTCATTAAAATGCATCTACCTGGGCCCTACCTCAGACTTTCTAAATCAAAATCTCAGGAAAGGAGTTCTAGTAAACAACAATTTTAGCAAGCTTTCCAATGATTCAAATGCCCACTAGCGTTTGTGAATTAGCCCCTGACTTTTTATTCATTGATTAAGAAGTCAATCAGTCCTTTCAGTGCTGACTCATTTATTTGTTGATTCAACAATATTTATTGAGACACTTTTTATTACAAAGTACTGTGCTAGTTGACTTTTGAGGAATAATGCAGTATAAAATACAGCAGCTGCATCAAGTTTTTTACTATATAAGTTGGATGACAAGATATGCTCTCAATATTTGTTAACAAATAAGCACAAGATATTTGGATTCAGGGTCAAAGTAGTATTCATAGTATAGCAACCAGAACAAGAACAATTCTGGTCAGATAACACTTACAGTTCTCTTTTACTTATTACTCTATTTGATTATTAAAACTGTTCTGTGAAGTAGGTAGAATATTATTTAACAGAAGAGGAAATTGAGTCTCAGAGCTGACAAGATTGGAGATTCAGAGTTACGTTAACAATTAGCCACGGAACAGACTACATTTCTAGAATTTCTAGCTCTAGTTCAGTGTTCTCACTGCACCTACATTGTAACTCACATACTTTTTGTTACTTAAGCTGAGACAGTTTAGAAATAGAAGAGTTTATCAGCAATGAATACTTAAGTTGAAAATCAGGCAAAAGAAATCATTCAAAATCAAGTAAATAAAACTTCCTGTCAATGTTAATGTTATGTTCAGCTACCAAGCCATAAAGCAAGGATTTTGTTCTTTAAAAATGTGACAGAAGTCCAGTGGGTGGTGAATGTGTTAGGAGAAAATATAATAATTGTGATGTGCCAACTTGGTTGGGTCACAGAAATAAATTTGTGAAGGGAGCCCCAGCATCCTTGAAGAGCTCAGTAATCATTTTTCTCTGTAGGCCAGAACTTACAGTGGGAAATGGTGTAATAAATTGGGAAACCTAAATGCAATGAGGATCCCAGGGTGGCTGGGGACAGATAATGACCCTTAATTGCCAAAGTCAAGGTATCATGGTTAAAAGGACATAAATGACAGCAGAGTCAAAGTAGCAATCAGAAAAGTCTGACTTATAGAGACCTATGGCATTGACTGTTTCATCATGGTGTATGGGAAAGCTACTAAATTCTTACTT